CGAACACTCTCTATGGTTTGATTAAAGAAAGATACCACTCCCATGGTATTTGATGATCTCATCAAATACCATGATTTAAAGTTATCTGGTCAAGGGGCAAAAAAGCAAGCACTTAAAGGTCTTCAACTCTGATCTTCTGTTCATTTCTTACTACTGGGATTTTATATTCACTTCTTGTTGAATGACTCAACCAGATGATGGTAGAGATGGTAAGCTGGCATTTACTCAGCCTGCCTGCTCAGCCTTGGGAGCAGACAACTTCTCAGCTGGTGGATCAGCTGCTTTTGTCACTTTACTATCTTGTGGTTTAGGGTTCTCTGAGCATCTGCATCAGTAATTGAAGTTGCAGCGGTACCAACGTTGAGGTAGCTGCTGACCTTGGGTCTCATCTCCTTGGTTTTCCTTATCCTCTTCATTGCGTTCCTCTCTGGGCTGTCTTTGGCGAGGAGGACCCCTGCAAAATCATGGTCTATAATCCCAAGGCATGTTCTGCCTCACTGGTCGACCTTGTTCTTTTGTACCCTGGTTCTCAGCACACTTGAGATTTACAACTGGTTACTTATATATCATCTGTGGTTGGCTGACTTGTATGTGGCTTCAATGTTCAATGGCCAAAAACAAGTTAAACTACTCTTCTTGCAGCCCTCAGCTCAGTAAGTGGCAACTCCTTTCTGATACTTGCCTAGGCCAAGAAGCTATGGAACGATCCTTAATTGCTCATTTCTCTTTCAACACTCCACTCTGTTAGCCAACTCTACCAACTCTGCTTTTAAATGCCTCCAGAAACAGATTTCTTCTCACTGCTTCCTCTATTAACTCTAGCATAAACAATCACAGTTTCTTGCTGGAGTTGTTTTAGTTGCCTCCTGGTTGCTCTCTCTGAATTGACTATTGCCCCGTGGACACTGTTCTCTATAAAAAGTCATCAGCATGATCCTGATTCAAACATAAGTTGAATTATATCAATATCCTGTGCCAATTTTCCAATATGTGGTTTTTTGTTTTTTTGTTGTTGTTGTTGTTTTGTTTTTTTGTTGCCAGAGAGACAGAGAGGACGTGAGAAATCATTCCCCAGAGGGGACAGCCATGCCACAATCCCTTCTCCTCCAGTCTCCTCTTGGGTTTTGGGCATGCTCACACATGTGCCTAGTGTGAATTTTAATCTACCAAGTCCAAGACTTGAACCATGATTGACTACATGGGAGTCCAGCAATGTAACCATTACGCCATCTGCTGGTCTCTATTTAAGACCTTTATTAACAGGTGCTTGCAGTTTGTTAACTTTTTTTGAAAACAATCAAGTTGTAAACTTTTATTACAAACTAAAAAAAAATGAAGTTCTTAAAAATATCCACTTGACCATATGTGAAACAATTTAAAAACCTTTAAAGGTGTATTGAGAAAAACCAAGCTTTAAAAAAAAATTGTCATTACCAAAAAGAGATATCTTTAGATAAAAATAACAAAAACTCTATGCTGCATAGGTAATTCAAATAGTTCTAGTTATCTGGTCAAGGGGCAAAAAAGCAAGCACTTAAAGGTCTTCAACTCTGATCTTCTGTTCATTTCTTACTACTGGGATTTTATATTCACTTCTTGTTGAATGATTCAACCAGATGATGGTAGAGATGGTAAGCCGGCATTTACTCAGCCTGCCTGCTCAGCCTTGGGAGCAGACAACTTCTCAGGATCGGCTGCTTTTGTTGCTTTACTATCTTGTGGTTTAGGGTTCTCTGAGCATCTGCATCAGTAATTGAAGTTGCAGCGGTACCAACGTTGAGGTAGCTGCTGACCTTGGGTCTCATCTCCTTGGTTTTCCTTATCCTCTTCATTGCGTTCCTCTCTGGGCTGTCTTTGGCGAGGAGGACCCCTGCAAAATCATGTTCTATAATCCCAATGCATGTTCTGCCTCACTGGTCTACCTTGTTCTTTTGTACCCTCAGCACACTTGAGATTTACAACTGGTTACTTATATATCATCTGTGGTTGGCTGACTTGTATGTGGCTTCAATGTTCAATGGCCAAAAACAAGTTAAACTACTCTTCTTGCAGCCCTCAGCTCAGTAAGTGGCAACTCCTTTCTGATACTTGCCTAGGCCAAGAAGCTATGGAACGATCCTTAATTGCTCATTTCTCTTTCAACACTCCACTCTGTTAGCCAACTCTACCAACTCTGCTTTTAAATGCCTCCAGAAACAGATTTCTTCTCACTGCTTCCTCTATTAACTCTAGCATAAACAATCACAGTTTCTTGCTGGAGTTGTTTTAGTTGCCTCCTGGTTGCTCTCTCTGAATTGACTATTGCCCCGTGGACACTGTTCTCTATAAAAAGTCATCAGCATGATCCTGATTCAAACATAAGTTGAATTATATCAATATCCTGTGCCAATTTTCCAATATGTGGTTTTTTGTTTTTTTGTTGTTGTTGTTGTTTTGTTTTTTTGTTTTTTTTTTAAGAGAGATTTTTGCTATAGGGTGCGTGTGCTTGCTGGAGGGACAGAGTGACAGAAAGTGAGAAATGGCCACACTGCAATCTCTTCTCCTTCAGTGTCCTCTCAGGATTTTAGGTATGCTCGCACATATGTCTGGCATGAGTTTTAAGCTGCCGGGTCCGGGCCTTGAACTATGGTCGACTATGTGGGAGCCCAGCAACGTAACCATATGCCATCTGCTGGTCCCCCAATGTGTATTCATTTAATCCTAATGTAGTGCATCCGAACATTTCAAGAAAAAAAAGAAATGGATCTTCAAAGTATCTGGAAGAAGTCGTTTTTCTCATTGATCAAGGAGGAGCTGCTAACTCTCACAAAAAGGCACAGCGGGGTCTGAGCTGTGGCCATTGAGTCAGTTCCCTGTGGCTTACCTAGTAAGTGAAAAAAAGACTAAACAAGAGACAAATCCACTTGTAATTGCTGTTACTACGTTTTTCTATTTGATTCAAGGTGTTAACTTAAAAACAGACAGCTTCCAACCTACACCCTCAGTTGTTAAGCTAAAATGCCAACCAAGTCCAAAATGTATTGTATAACCCAATAAAGAGGAGATGACAGGAAAAAAACAGTAATACAAAGCGTGCTAATGTTACTTCTTTATTTCATGAAACTGATATTATTGCAAACATCAATTTTAGGAACATTTTAGGTAAACATTAGAACAAAAAGGCAACAAGGAACACAAAATGGGTGTGCACGCGCACACACAGCTATCACCAAAGGACAGAAAGTTATTCAGAGAATTTTTTAAATATTCCTCGATCTACTGAAATATTGAGAAAGTTTGCATGCTAAAATGAAAATATGCTCTAAGAGCAAGTACTACACATCTGCTTTTTGCTTTTCAAAGTTTAAATGACGTGAGTTAACAATGGAATACAGAAAGGTTATTAAATACACTAAGTCTAATACTTAAACACTCTTCAATTCTTTACCCCTCCCAATGCAGAGTTTTAATTATGTTCACGATCTTACCATATTGACCTTTACACCCACACCGCTGAATTCCGTCCGTTTCTTAGTCAAGTAAAACTCTCCTAGAAATTTAGGACCAAGATCAGGGATGAAATTACAATCATCCACTCCTAGGAGAAATGGAGGAGGTATTTCCACTGAAAGGCCTCTGACTCCCTGATTCTCTGTCCAGTATAAAATATTTAATAGTCTACAAAGCTTGGGAAAGGGAATGTTATACAACCCTGGACTCTGTTCTAGTTATTCCTTATAAGGCAGAGAGCAAAATAAGAAATGGGCCTCTCAGGCTAAAACAGAGACACAGAAGGAAATACACACACACACATAAATCTAATGTCCATTCCCATCTAACAACATACATGATTTGGGGAGGTGAATTAAGATTATTATTCATTGATTAAAAGAATCACACTACAAAGTGTCTTTTACCCTAATCTCTAAGGTAGACAAATTAGAATAATGATTAATTTTGACTTTTGAAAAGAAATATTTCACCTGAATAAAACATACATGTATATAGAGTAAACGTCTTATAATGTTTTTCTTTTAAAAAATAGCTTTGACATGTTTCTGATGCCCTGAAATAGTTGTGCTGAAGACCCCCAGCTGTATTTTGCGAAGACTGATTCAGAGGCTGAAATATTGTATGTCCCTTTTCTGGCAAAACTTCATAGTATTCAGTAGTACAAGGGTTTCTTAAACTGGTGCTTCTCACATTTTATCATGCATAGGCATCACCTGGAGGGTTTGTTAAAACAGAATCCTGAGCCACACCCCAGAGTTTCTGATTCAGTTGGTCTGGAGCAGGGTCTGGGCATCTCCATTTCAAATAATTTGCCAGAGAGCATTTGCACTCTCTGGAGAAAGAGAGAGAGAGAGGGAAAGTGAGAAAGCACTTCCCATGGGGCATGGTCACATCACAATCTCTTCTCCATTTCTTCCTTCTTTCAGGATTTTGGGGGCACACACACACACACACACACACACACACACTCTCTGTGTTTTTCAGGCTGCCAGGTTCAGGATCTGAACCAAGCAGTTGGCCATGTGGGATCCAGCTGCCTTAACCATCAGGCCATGGGTTGGCCTGAGAATCTGCATTTTCAACAAGTTCCCAGGTGATGCTCAGGCTGCTAGTATAGAGGCTGCACTTTACTATAATAACTAAGCACTGCTTTAAACTATTAGTTTATATGATCTTTAAAAATAAATATAAGCTTAGAACCCAGGACTCCATGGTACTTATTAAACTCTTTTTAAGGCTGTGTTCCAGGGACAATCCTTGAGTAAACAGAATTTCCTACTTTCTTCTTGATAGCAACACATATGTCCAGGCAACTAAAACGTTCTTAACAGTATTTACTTAAAATTTTAGTTTTGCTGTGCCTGGCCTGGAAGTATTCCCTATTTTTTTCATCAGAAGAAGATGACATCTACTATGTGTCTGCAGATGCCCTGGATTGATAACCCTCCCAGGACAGGATTTGTGTCTCTGGGGGACCAAAGGCCTCAGCTACAGTTTTGCTATGCCTGGCCTGGAAGTATTTCCTATTTTTCATCAGAAGAAGATGACATCTACTATGTGTCTGCAGATGCCCTGGATTGATAACCCTCCCAGGACAGGATTTGTGTCTCTGGGGGACCAAAGGCCTCAGCTACATGTCTTTGCCCAATAGGTCTATTTCATCCAGGAGGAAGTCCATGTCCTCCCGGCTCACTTGAGGGCTGATCACCACTTGGCGGAAGAAGTTGACCTTGCCCCGGTGGGGCTGGTAGCCCAGCATCAGGCTTCCCTTCTTCATCATCCTCTCCTTAATGGCTGGGGCCACCTGCATGGGGAGAGGAGGGAGGAGGTGAAAGACCAGAACACCAGGGCATGCACTTGCATTTTAACTAACTGATTGATATTTGTTGGGTATCCACTGGTGTGAATCTCATTCTCATATACACAAAGTTGACATTAATAATAATTTATTGAGAGTTTATGGCATATGAATATTGACTGAAGTGCTTTAGACATATCGATTCATTTACTCTTCACAATGATGAAGGAGATACTATTAATATGCCCATTTATAGATGAGGATATGTGGGCATATGAAGATTAAATAAATATCCCAAGGTCCCAGGGAATCTCACTCCAAGTCCATGATCTGAAATCTAAATCATTATGCAGTGCTGCCTCATTAAACGCAAATCAGGGGCCCTCAGGGATCATAGTCTCAGAGGTATCAAATGTTACATTTCCAAATGTGCCTTACCTAAAATTACTCCAGTTCAGGCATCGTGAATAAAGATGAATTAGTCATAGGTGTGGAAACAAAACAAGACAAACCTTGCAGTTGTCTATCAAGGAAAAACTAATACTGCTACTCTGTGCAGTTCTATTTTAAAGACCAACGGTTTATGGGACCAGCAGTTGGAGTAATGGCTATGTCACTGGACTCCCATGTAGTCAACTGTGGTTCGAGTCCCAGACCCGGCGGCTTAAAACTCACGCCAGGCGCCTGTGCGTGTGTGCCCAAGATCCCGAGAGGAGAATGGAGAAGGGATTGCGGCATGGCCATTCCCCCCTGGGGGTGATTTCTCACTTTCTGTCTCTCTGTCTGTCTGGTGAGCACATGTGCCCTAAGGGGAAAAAAAAAAAGACCAATGGTTTATTAGTTTATTAATAGAGTCTGTATTTTTCTGTCAATTAGTGTGTTTTGAAAATACTTGGCTAAAATAAAGGCCCTAAATGAAAATCAAAGTTTAATAGTATCCTTACATGTTAAGTATAAATACTCTTTTATTAAGAGATGAAGAGGTGGTAATAAAATTAGGAAGCCCATATTTTAAGGTCATGTAGTTGACATGAGCTCTGATAATTCAAATGCACAAAATTTTCCAGAAGTTTAATGTTTAAAGAAATTAGTCCAACTGAAGAACCACAAGGGAAAACCAGTTCATTTTTAAGTCAGCAGGGTGATTACCCAAGAGTTAGGTTGCCAACTTCTAAAATAGTGAAGTTAATTTTTGAAACACTGAGTTAAGAAATTAAAAATGTACTTTTGCTAGCTTGGAATACAAGCAAAGATTTTCTCATTGAGCTTTATGTTAACACTGAAAATTTTTCTCAGTGTGTCCTATGTGAATACGTGGAAAGGGAATATGAGTTTCTGTCTTTCTTTACTCAGGAAGATGAGGCCTACATCATCCAGAAGGTAGGAATGCATATGGAAATAACACCAGACTCAGTGTGCTTTTCAGCTCCTAAGTTCAGCTGCACACATCTCAGACCTCAGGAGCATCTCTTTTGTGGTGTGACCATTCTACACCATGCAGATTTTTAATACACAAGAACTCTTCAACAAGTTCAGAGAAAATGTATATTATGGAAAAACTATGCATGGATTTCAAATTTGGGGCATCAAAATAAACTAGTACTTTCATTCAATTTTTCCTTAAACTTTTTGAAGTCCCTTCCTACCTATGTTCTGTCAGACACTCTGGAGGGCAAGTCAGACTGCTTCATCTGACACTCAACATAATCTTTGACCTGTTCCAAAGCTGGTAGAAAAATTGGGTGTTGGCGACCTCTGGAGAGTTATATGTTGTACTTAACTATGAAGCCTTCTCAATGGATGGTCAAGGGCAATTTACACATTTTGTTCATGTGTGTTAATTTTAGAAATGAAGTCTTGCAAAACACAAACTACATTGTGTCCACAGCAACAAAAACAAATACATCTTCCACAGAATCACATTGCCATGTTAGCAAAACATTGCTTTCTTACAATATAACAACACATGGAAAGAAAATATACAGGTGTAAAGGGAAAAAAAAAAACGGAGAAAAAGAAATGCAGTCAAAGGTTCATTTAGTGAAAAACAGTGGGCCCTCAGGTTCTATCCATTTCTGGATATGTATCATCTATTTCACTTTGAATTTTCTGAAGGTTAGGAAAAATAGGGTTAAACAACACCTTCTATACTCCAGGGGATACTTAGTGATGATGAATGCTTGGTCTATGTGGAAAACCAGAAGTTAATAAGAAACTCTACTCTCTGTGTCAAATGCTTGAGTTTGTATGCATCACGTATTGGCTGAGTTTTCTTCTAAAGTTGTTTTCTTCAAATAGCACTTATTACAACGGCACAATCTAGTGAAATACTATGTAAGCCAATGAAAGGGGAGTGCCAAAAGAGAGCGGTTTCCATAAAAACTAAGTTGAATCCTTTGGAAAGACCAGAAAGAGGAGAAAGGATGGACAGATAAACACTGTTGTCCAATTAGGGGCCATAAGGGAACTATAAAAGCTTTCTTTTTCTCTTTTTTTATATGCTAGAGGTTACAGGCACTTGCAGGAGAGAGACAGAGAGAGATACAAAAAGGGAAAGTGAGAAAGCACCCCCCACCCCATGGAGGATGGTCATGCTGCAGTTCCTTCTCTTCCATCTCTCCCTGCTGTCAGGATCTTAGGCACACTTGCACATGTACGCAGCATGTTTCTCAAGTCGCCAGGTCCGAGATCCAAACTGCATAGTTAAACACATGGGAGCAAGCATCTTAACTACCATACCACCAGCTGGTCCCTATAAATGTTTCTAAAACAAAATCATGTAAGTCTAGACTGATTCTGTACTCAGTTTGCTACATAGGCATTTGAATATGCATTCCACATAGAGAAATTGCATATGGAGATAAGAGATGGCTTTGGAAAAGTGTAGTTGATGCCAGAACAGTGCAGGGCCCGCTAATCATCAGACCTCTGCTCAAGAGGCTGTACTTGCTTTTGGAAAGCCTTTGGAAATCCTTGCTTGATGGAAAGGCCTTTCTATTAAAGGATAGAGAAATAAATGGACATAGATGTACAAATGTTAAAATATGTAAATGTAAAAATAGGAATATATGTACAATATTTAACTTAGGTATGCATCACATTATTTCTAGAGTGATTGCTCACTTGGCCAATCCTTAGGTAGGACGACTTCTGGTGCATACATGGATGTGCCTGTGCATGTGTGTGTGTGTGCACACATGTGTATGTGCATATGCGTATGTGCACGCTCATGTATAACTTACATTTCTAACTAACCATGTGTCATTTATTAAATCGTCTTATTGGTTGCAGGGAAATACACATTTATTTATTTATTTTTAGTTTAGTTTAGTTTTAGTTTTTGCTATAGGGTATCTGCACTCACTAGGGAGAGACAGCAACAGACAGGAAAAATGAGAAATCACCCTCCTGGAGAGATGGCCATGCCACAATCCCTTCCCCAGCTTTCTCTCGGGATTTTCAGCATGCACACATGAATGCCCAATGTGATTTTCAAGCCACTGGGTCTGGGACTTGAACTGCATATCTGGCCATGTGGGACCTTTACCTTCATGCCACTTGCTTGCCCCCACATTTATCTTTAATTAAACTAACAAGTGGCCTCTTCAAGGTAAACTTAAGCTATGAGAAAAAGCACAATATTATCAGCATTAATCAATTTTAGGAAAACTGGATCCAGATAGGCCAAAAATCTGGTCAGGAGAGCCACAGAATATCAATTTTAGAACTTGCAGCTTATGATTTTGTATTTTTTTTTTAATCAAAATTCCCTTCCTAGTCCATCACTCTCCAGGAAACCAGCTCTGGCTTACAGCCAATCTTAAATTTAAAACAGACATTTCTTGACTCAAGCCAAAGGCAATAACTCTATTTCTCTCTGAAAAAATGGTATCCTGGCCTGGCCTGGAGGTGCAGTTGGTTAGCAAACTGAACTGCAGTGCTGGAAGTCACATGGCCAACTGTGGGTTTGAGTTCCAGGCCAACTTGAAAACATGTCAGGCTCCTGTGCCCATATCCAAGATCCTGGAACTAGAAGGCAGAGCAAAGGGGTATTATAGCATGATCATATCCTGTTGATGGTGGTTCTCTTTCTCTCTCGTTGGCACATATGTGCTCTCTATCATGAATGAATGAAATAAACTTAAGAAAAATGGTATTCTGTGGCTTACCTTTGGAGAGCATTGGACTTTTGATTTCAGTTCATAACATGTCTGGGCATAAGCACATGAAGCAGCTATCAAGATGAATCTTTCAGGTTTGCTTTTCTTATAAGCAAACCAGAAATATTTCCTAACAAAAGCAAGACGGGTTAAGAGAGTGCCCTGGATGTTTTAATATAAAGATATTTTGGATGTTTAAATTCTAGCTCTTGTGTAAGGCACAAGAATGAGCTTCCATGGGCAGCAGTCATGGCTGAAGAATCAAACTTCTAAGCCAAATGCTGTCACTGGCATTCAAGATGATACAGAAATGATTAAATACCCATGTGACTCAGAAAGCTAGCTAAGCAAGAGTTTGAAAGCACACACATATTTTATTTATGTTTTCATGCCCTATAGATTAATCTTAGAAGATGTGGCTATTAGGCAAAACGGGAGACTCTCCTTTATCTGGGAATACTTCATGGGGAAGAAAGTCATAAAGCAACAGCAAAGCTGATATTCATCAAATCTCTATCTCGGATTATTGTTGCAGTAGCAATTGTTGTTGTTAACAAATACTGTACCATTTCTTTCCATTTTTGCGATGTTCTTCCACACATCTGGTTCCCATAAGCTCAAATTAAAGCTTATTGGAAAAGAATCCATGTTTTGGCAACTTAGGGGCCAAGATGTTCTCATTAACGGCCAGCTCACCACCTTTGCGTGTAAAAAGTCAACTATTTTCTATTTACAAAGCTCTAGGCATAACCCAATGCTGGGTAATTTGAGTATTCTCTTGTGCTGATCACAGCAGAGAAAAGGCTCTAATCTGACAGGATGCAATATTCACAGGGGAAAGAAAAT